GGCAAGGGCAATGACTGTACCATCGAGCGTATTTTGCAGTATTAAACACGTATTTATACCGATTTAATCAGATTCCGAATATTCTTCAAAAAGAACACAAAGAATGGCCTTCTCAGCTGCCATAGTTGCAACTCTTATGTCATCAGAACAGGATGTTCAACGCACCACCGTTTCCGTTTAAAAAACGTTTTGTACCGTTTTTGTCGGGGCTGAACGCAGCCTAGTTTAAAGCAGGGTCCTGTTTGGTAAACCCGCATCCGCAGAACATAACAGAACACCCGACCGGTTATCCGACAGCAGCACCAATTTAATTCTGTGCCCGACCCGTTTGACATAAAGACCGCGACCTGAACCGCGCCCGCATTAAATAGGCTACTGCATCAGTAAGGCAAAATTATTTATTTTAGGTAACACAAGCAATCAAACCAAAATAAGCATTTTAAGTTGGTGCTTTGAAGAAAAACAGACAAGCAGCGCAACAGAACAAAGAACGCGCATCCTTCCTGTAAACCATAAAAAACTTTTGCCCACATCTTGCCAACCCTTTTCACAAGACTGTGATGACGCGTTTAACGGTCATCATCAGCATCGTAAATCCTCGAGAAAGTTTTTTTTTTTATGTATAATAACACTACTCTTTGTATTATATCACCTTTGCATCAAATTACAAAAAAACAGTTAACGCTAATGCGAGGGTGTTTCTAATGCAGCGTCTATGTGAGAGACGGTAAATTTGACATCGTTCTCTCTTCTGACAGCGTTATCAGTCTCTCTCAGTTTTTTTCCTTTTATTGAAATTCATGAAAACACTATCGTGGAGTTTTTCTTTTGCTATTTGAGCAAATGGGAATGCAAAAATATATATTTGTGGTACTCTTCCATTCACTGCTCTTCAAGTTAACCCAACTTTGACGAATTCTGCTGCTGAGAAACCCGGAAATGTGAAAAAGGTTCATCCGCCAAAGGCTGTTTTGAACAAATGTGCATAAACTACGCGCTTATACTCTATAAGCTGTCATTCACTTCAGCTGCAGCGCGAAAATTAACATTATTATTGCAAATAATAAATTTAACATTATTATTGAATTTCATAAGTTCCACTTATGATTTATGCGCGTTTGTTCGCGGGAAAGTGAGCAAGACAGGACAGTTATGGTATCATGATTATGGTTAAATAAGATGAAAGACATATAATACAAAGAAATTAGCTATACACATTTATCATTCAGTAGTAGGTTTTAAATATAATGTAAGTGCAACTTGTGTAGATTTAAAAATGCATGACTGCAATTTTTTCAGTTAATGAAATTACGGTATTTAACTGTAAATTTAAGTTAAAACCGTAAAACCTAAAACGTTGCTACCGTATTTTTTACGGTAAAATTCCGGCAACCACAGCTGCCGGTTTTCTACCGTAAATTTTACGGATTTTTTTTACAGTGTAGACGTGTGCATCACTAAGGTTAAATTAGCCTAAGTATTTCTTCGGCCTGCGCTCTGGAAGTGATCTGTTAATTCTGCTAAACTTTAATTAGCCTACTAAAACTGGAACTAAACTATATAAAAACTAAAGAGAAATGTGTTCACAAAATAAAAACGAAACTAAAACTAACAAAATTATTAAGGAAACTAATAAAAACGAAACTAAATTTGATTGCAAATTTGAAAACGATATTAAAATAAAATGAATTTAAAAATGCTAAACTATAATAACCTTGGATTGGAGATGAGTTTTGTTCCAACTTTGTTGCAGTTTGCTGATTTTTGTAAAAATAACTTCTGTTTTTGCTTTTCAGATAAAATAGTGGTTTCAATTTAATATGTTGCAGGCTCATTTATTAGTAATAAATAATTGATAATAAATAATATTGATGATAATAATCATCAAAAAAATATTGGGCTTGTTTTTGAAGCTGCTGTTGCTTATTTATCTTGCGAGAGTTGGCAACGCAGAGCTGTGAAAACACGTCTGTCTCTGGCTCGGCGCCAGCCAAAGAGCGAACGCAGATTTGAATTTAGCAGCTGATGCTGTTCAACACTGCATGTTCTAATCACGCTCGTGTGATTGTATGTAATATAAAAAATATTATTCGGCTATTCTTTTGTCTTTTGGAAGCTGCATTCAAAAACCCACTTGGCTCAAAAATCTGAGGGGGCACGTGCAGTTTGAATGGGCATGACGCCTCTGCCTGAATTGCATTTTGATTGTTTCATTTTTACTTCTAAAATTTTTGTTAAACAAATTTTAAATGTAAGCAGTATTTTATACATGTTTAAATGATATAAGTATGTTGTATTAATAACTGCACTCATTGAAAATAAGGAAAGTTAAACCAGTAGTTTTATGGAGTATAAAGGTTTAGAGGAAACAAGTGCAAATTACTCCTCAATATTAGCATTTATTTATTTATTTCAAATATTTACATTACCTTAACTTGTTGGGTCTACTCAGTTTTATTTGTCATGGTACCAAATGTAGTTACTCAGATGTAGGCCTACTTTTTTTTTTTTTTACTTACATTTACTCCGTTCCTAAGGTATATTTAATTCATTTAACTGCTTTAAAAATTATTCAATATTCTGAAGTGTAAAAATGTTTCACCAAAAAAAAATAAAAAAATAAAAATAGAATAGCTCATAGTTTATTTTTTTTAGAATATAATTCTTACTACTAACATTTTCAATCTTTCTAGTAAATTTTCAATTACCTATAAAGTCTCCTCAAGTCTACACATTACATCTGACAAGTTAAAAAAAAAAAAATTTTTTTTTTTTTTTAACTAGTGAAGAACTAGTATCCATCTAATAACAACTGTGATAATTTCCAGTAACTAGAAAAACGTACTGTTAACAAATGAAAATGTACTAACTAGTGACACTAAAAAAGGATACCACCATTAGACTAACTAGTAAATAAAAAAGTAAAATATAACAATAATAGATCGGCTACTCGTTAAAAGCATACATGTTAACACGGCTTGCCATAGACGGAGAAGTGGGTGGGCGCGAGCGCGTAGAGCGTGCACGCGCCAAGCCAAGCCAGTGCGTACATGTGTCGCAGATTTTAAAACTCAGAAAGAGCTGGAGCAGCTGCAGACCTGAGGGTGCACCAAGAGTACCGGAGGGTTTCAGTCCTAAAAAAGAAAACACTCCAAGAGTGTGCGCAGAATAGTTAAGTGATATTTCATCGCCTGAAGAGAAATAACGGGAGAGATTAGAAACTCTTGTTTGCTGCACTGGATGCTCTCGTGAACATGGAGCTGTCATCAATAGGAGAGCAAGTGTTTGCTGTGGAGTCAATCACGAAGAAGAGGATAAGAAAGGTAAGGACGTTGCTGGTGCATATAAAATGCACTTTGGTCAGTTGCTTTAAAGCGATGTATTCTGCACGCACTACTTACTTTGTTTTGAAGGGATTAATACCACCAAAGTCCGCGCAGTTTTCTTCTGTTGCCAGTTCAGGAATCACTCATGAGTGAATAACACCTAAGCTTGCGTAACATTTCTGAACTTTTTCGTTGCATGACTTTTCGTGTGCAAAACACTGCGGCAACTTAAATGTTATTCTCTAAAGTTAGTGAATATTCGCAAGGCTCGCGCTTGAATCGCGAGCGCTATAGATGGAGGGGGGCGTGTGAGAACAGCGCGCGTGTCAGCATCATCGCCATCGATGCGCGTTGCGCTCGGAAAATCACCGCGTTTAGCCGATACGCAGTTCATTTGTACGCGCGCGGGCCAAGGATGATGCGTGAAACATCCGCGCAGTTGTCAAAAATAATCGGACCAGTTTAGACCAACGGCAGAATAAACAAGATTAAAGATATTTAAATAGCGATAAATAAAATAGGTCATGTTTATTAATAGAGCACGCACGAAGTAGCTGATCTCACTGGTAGGTGTTCATTTATTTATTATTGTGTGTGTGGTATACAGATGTTGTAATGTACAGTAATAGCCAGTGATGATGATGACTAACGCTGCATGTGCACGCGGGCTTCGTTTCGTACGCTCCAGCGTGAGGGGAGGAAAGACCTTCGCAGCTTCAGGTTGCACAAAATGAGTTGTTTACGCGTTTCCATGGCCCCACCTACTTCCATCCCATGAATGTTCTTGAAACTCGCTGTTTTTGTTTTTTTGTAACTCACGTGCTCGCCCCTCTATGACATCACGCACCGTAACATTCTCGAGCGCAGCGCCGTTCTCATCCTGCATAATCTTTCAAGTCAAAATACTACTGCGTGTTGACATCTTAAAGAGACAGGCATGCTTTTTTCAAAATCGGTGGGATGTTTGTGTCATGGATTGGTTGAAAACAGAATGGTGAGGTATATCCCCCCTCAACTTTAAAAGTGAAAGTGACTTCTTTTATTTCTTTCTCATTTCAGGGAAATGTGGAATATCTGCTAAAGTGGCAAGGGTGGGCGCCTAAGTAAGTTCTCATATAAGATTGGAAAAACATACAGTCATTTTATTAAAGACAAAATACAACCTACAACTAGAACACAATATGTGGGTGAATCCCACAAAAACATATCAAGGTCACATTTCACCAGCCCCAATAAAGATTGCGTAAAACATGAGGAAAAATAGATATTGGATAAAAACACAGCATCATATTATTCCTTTCTCTTCACCACAAGAGAAGACAATGTTATGCTCTGTTAAAATAATAATAAATACATTGAAAAAAAACTTTTTTGCAGTTTATTGGTTTTCAAACAAAAAGTAGCCCTGATATTTGAAAATCATGAGATGGAAATGACTACATTGTAAAGTTTAATTTTGTGCAAACAAAATATGCGCTTGAAACTCTTTTAGCCATGTGTTACTCCAATGATCTGTTTGGGACTGTCTCTGTGACTGTCAGGTACAGCACTTGGGAACCAGAGGACAATATACTGGACCCTCGTCTTGTCCTCGCCTATGAAGAAAAGTAAGTCGCACTCTGATGAGGAGATGAATATGCTGGAGGCAACGGGATGTTCTTTCCTTTCCATCTCCCAAATCCTTTGCAAATCTCTTTCTAACAGAGAGGAGAAAGACAGAGCTCTGGCTTATAAGAGGAAGGGCTTGAGACCTCGTCAAGTTATTCTGCGGGTACGAGTTATCTCTTAACTATTTTGATGTCCAGTAGCAGTTCTTATGTAATTCTGATGTTTTTTTTCCCTGTAATGCACAAACTCGGTGTTATTTTCCCTAAAACAATATTTGAAGCCTCGTCCAACTGTTGTGTCCTTTCTATGCAGCTTCTGTAACAACAAGTAGGCCTACCAAAGGTTTTCTATCGATTCATATATCATATATCCAACCATCTGATACACATAATAAAAGTGATCTGATGTACTAAAGTGTCCCAGGATCTGAACTTAGATTCATTGTCCAAATTTGGCATAGCATCCACATGGGACTGTACTTGACTTGTTCTTTCGGACATGGTTCAAAACAGTTCTCTGTAAGTGCACCAAAGGAGTCATCTAGATTGCAAGATAATGTATCGCAGCAGTTGTAAAGACAATTCAGTATTTCAGAAAGAACATTCTAGCCTAACCAGTATTTACAACATCTGATAAACACTGCATAATCTCAACTTTCTAACAGAGCATCTACCCAATGGACCTACGAAGTAAACACAAGGTTCCAGATAAACCTACCCCGAGAATCCGCCTGTCACTCACCCGCTCCATGGGGACGGAAATAGACCAGAATGGACGGCGCTACCGTCCCATAGAGAAATACAAGAACAGGCATTGCAGGTCCAAGCTCGTGAATGACATCAAACCATCCCAGTATTCACTTCCTGCAAAAGACTCAGAGAAAGAGTGGGATGAAGACGATGAAGATGAGCAGGAGAACAAAGTGAAGAAGATGAGGGAAAACGAAGAAAAAACAACAGAAGTGCACCAGGACATTCCAAGTAGTAGGTGTTGTGTGGCATCAATACAATAACTGTTGCTAAGATACTCTGCAATGAACATATTCAGCCTGATTTTTCAGAATGGCCCTCATGACCCCTGAATAATTCAGGGGTCATGAGGGCCATTCTGAAAAATCTTGCCAGATATTTCTCAATCACAGTGACAACTGGCTAACACGTGTTTAATGTGATTGAGAAATACCCCACTGTCAAAATTCACCCAAAAATGACAATGTAGTATGTCATTCAAAACCTGTGAGATACTCTGTCCTCTGCAAAACACAAAAAGGAGTTTTGTTTTAGTTACTTTTTCTTACAATGAAAGTGAATGACCATTAAACGTAAAACCTGGACCATAACGTTCAATAAAAGCAAAAATTTGGGTTACACTTTATTTCGATAGTCCACTTTAGACATTCTACTAACTATAAGTAATTTTGTAACTACATGTCAACTACATGTCAACTAATTCTCATTAATTTGTAACTACATGTCTACTAACTCTCAGAGTAGACTGTTAGGGTAGGTTTAGGGTTAGTAGAATAAGTTGACAAAGAAAGTGTTAGAAGATATTAAGCAGACAGTCTACTAATACTCTACTAACTGCTAGTTGACATGTAGTTGCAAAGTTACTTACTGTTAATAGAATGTCTAAAGTGGACTAATCGAAATAAAGTGTTACCAAAATTTGCCAGAAATTTCTACTCTTCTGAAGCCATTTCACCTTTAGTGTGAGGAACGACTCGTTTAAATAGTCAAAAATATATGTAACCCTCCGGCATTTCACTCGAATCTCATTCATTTAAATTTAAACTTGCCATTTTAAGACATTTAGTTGTCAAGTTTGATGACAGTAACGTTGAACATTGGTTCTTACGTCTTGTGTTCAATCATCATTGATGTAAAACCAAACGTGAGATTTTCAGAGCTGTGTTTCCCAAAATCATAACCATAAGTAGATTGTAGAGACCACTGGTGCCAGTGCAGGACTCTATAGACTCCCACTGGTTGCTCTGGCGTGACTAACTTTCTCAGTTTTATTTAATTATTATTATTATTTTATTTTTTTGCTACAACATGGGTTTAATCAATGCATGCTGATGAATAGTTTTTTTCTTTTATCATAGTTTATATTTATATGGTAACAAAAGTGTTTAACATTCAACCCGACGAACTAGCTTCTATAACGTTTATTAACAAAAACGAATAAGACGAGGCATGGCATACACCACATGCTGTATTATATATTGACTTATAAATTACAGAACGTTTAGCAAACACTAAGGAATCAAATAAATAAATATAAAAAAAAATGTAATGGTGTAATGTGAGGTAAACCGCAAAGACGACAGGCTTTTCAAAATGAAAATAAAAATAAAACGTAACTGGCTGTCGGTGACGGTGCTTGCATGTTTTTGCGATCACGTCAAATTTCAACTCGTACATTCTCAAAAAATTGTCGCAAATATGACCATTTTGGTCGCAGTCTAGAGCCCTGCAGTGGTTTCTACGATCTACTTGGGCTTACAATGCATTTGGGAAATGTAGCCCAGGTTAATTTGTTCCTCATTTTATAAAATAAATTTCACGAAGTAGTCCATACGACTCTTGCACTTCCAATTCTTTTGAAGTTATATATTAGGAACAAAGTGATATTTATATTGTTATTTGACAAAAGTCCCTTTTGCTTCCTTTCTGCCGTAGCTTTCGAATCTCTTTCGTAATCAAGTACATTAAACCTGTTGTGATGCATCTTTAACTGCAAGTTTGAGAGTCATTGACACCAAAACTTCTATGACATATTTTGAAGCAGAGAAGGTCATGTGTGTCTGGAATGACTTTAAAGTCACTAAATAACTCCGTTTTAGTTCAACAGTTCCCTTTAAAGTTCATTATGAGTTTCTGTCTTTTTCTGTCAGGTCAAGAGACAACGGAGGGGTACAGCTCTTCGGCAGAAGATGAAGCTGTAATCATCATCAAGGAATCTGAGAACTGCTCTTCCATTTATGACCATGCTGAGAAGCCAAGCGAGGATACAAGTCAAGTTTTAGGAGCAACAGAAAACAGTACAATCACTAACACACAAGAGAACGAGCCAGTCACAAACACTACAGGGGGTGAGGACTCCGTACGGGTATCACATGACACAACAAACACTGACCAATCACTACACAGCACCGAGTCGGGAGCCAAGCAAGTTGTGTTTGACCAAGTACAGAACAGACCTTCGGTTATCGAGGTACATTCGAGCACTAAATGTAGACCGGAAGAGGTAAGAGAAAGTGGTGAGGTAGACCATTCAGAGGCCAAAGAAAAGGAAGGAATGGATGCTGAAATTACAGCAGAACGCACATTACTACAGGTCCCAATTGACCAATCACAAACTCCCTCCACCACCACAGTGCATCCTGGGAAAGTCACTGTGACTCAGGTGACGATAAATTCCTTGACCGTCACCTTCAAAGAGGCCATGAGTGCAGAAGGCTTTTTTAGTGGCGATGGGCTTGAGGTGTAAGTTGACAAAGGAACCCAAGAACATACAATAGATTCATGTACATTTAGTCAGGACCAAGTGAATAATACAGTTTGCAGTAGTGAAGCAGATATCGTCTATAAACAAGGTAAAGACATCAACAAGGCATCGGTTTTCTGAAGTTTATCCTTGTGTCATTGTGGTGAAATAACCTTTGAAGGACGACATTTCTGATTATACTCAGTGATGCTGTATGCGAAGACTTTTAAGCATGTAAAGTGAATCTTTGTACCTGTACCACTACTTTTCCATCAGCGGCAGTCATTGACATAACAATGAGGAGAAACTGTTTTTTAGTTCCGACTTGAAGACTAAACTACTGTTACGTCACCTCTTTTGTCCTGTAAACAACCATGTGGGAAAAGGAAAGGCCCACCTGGCTTTGTTTCCATATCTGCACCTGAGCTGTCTTCACTGTGTTTGGAGGCCTTTGTGCATTTTTAAAGAGACAGTATTGGTTTACATTCACAACTGCTACAGTGGATGCTTTCGTAGGGGTAGATCCTGTTCATCTGAACACATGTGCTTTAGGTGTGCTTTTAGCATGGCAGAAATCAAAGTCGAGCCTAAATTACATGTTTTGGTCGTGGTGATAGTTGAACATGGCTTGTCAGCTCTGTTGTTGCTCTCACGTGACAACTACACTTTTTTTTTTTTGCTTGCATTTACAGCAAATAAATGGGAAAATAAAGTTGTGCGTGATTTGAATTCATTTTGGAGTAATACTTTTTTGTGTGTAAGCCAATTTGTGCCTCAGAGTAAAATATGTAGTGAAATATAGTGATTTGCAATTGTAACGTAATACCCTGCAATTGCGACTGTATAAGTTCCAATTGCAAGACGGTTACATTGAAATAATCACATAGTGAGTTACAGTTGCAACTATGAGATATTAAATCTATTTACAAGAAAGTTGCAATTGAGAGAAATAATGTTACAGTAGCAAGATGTGAAGTCGCATATGAAAACAGTTGCAAGAGCCAGATTCACACTGTGAGACAAAGTCACATTGTGAGTTATGAAGTTGCAATTACAAGAAATAGTCACAATTCTGAGCCATTTAGCTGCTTTTTGATCCTTTTTACTGAGGCAGATTCCTTAAAATGTATTTAATGAAGTCTTCCAGAGAGCAGTGTAATAAATAACCCTTATTACACACTCTGGAATACTCTGTTAAACAGCCAAAGTGCTGTCGGCCAGTCATTGTCACAAAATAAACCCAGGAGGAAAATCTCAAGTTGATATTCTCTAGTCAATCGGACCAGGTTAAATGTTCTAAACTACTAGTCAAAAATTATGAAGCATAATAAGCCGACAGTACTAAGTCATATTTGCTGACCCTAATGCTGATTCTTAAATACTCAGGGAAAGCCACTAAAGCCACACCTTCACCAGGCAATCTGTACAGTTCACTTTTATCACCTCTAGGATAATTTGCAGGAGCAATAGGTTCTTCAGCATCGGTCTGAACATCAACTGGCAATGACAGCTGGCTGATGAGTCAACTATGACCAGCCTAACAGCCCTCAACACATTTAACCAAACAAACCCAAATCCAAGAGCACTGCCGTTCTGCCAAACAGAGATATAAAAGATTAAAGCAGAAAGGCAAATGGTTAAAAAAATACAAATGATCCTCAAAAATAAATGACCAATAAATTAAATTTATCTTCATTTTATTAAAAAAAAAAAAAAAGTAAGTCCACAGTTCGTGTTTCCTTTGTACAGTACAAAATATTCAAATAAAACTCCCAAAGTTCAGAGCAAAGAAGATTCTGGAAGTGGAGGAAAATCAGTGGTACTGAAGAAGGACGAAAAACTGTGAAATCAGTGGCTCTCCTCTCCTCCATCGTTTCACTGCGCCATACAGTTCATATGTGAAACGCTGCTTAACATGATTTTGAGCACATGAGCTGATGAACTCCAGCACCACATCCAATACACACATACACACACACACACACACACACATATACATATATATATACACACACAACTTTCATCCAACCAGTACAGACATCTCCACTAACCATCTTATAAGGAGTGCATACACATTCTGAGGGTGGGTGTCTGCATCTACGAACTTGTCCTGTTGCAAAAGAAGTGATGTCCAATGGAATTTCCAATATGGCATGAAATAAGATCCATTGGGCAGCGGAGCGCTCACCAAACCCGAACACTGTAATTTATATTATACTCAATAACCTAAATCTCCAGCTTAAGTAAAGGAATAGCTCCTCATTTTAATAGGTATTAACAAAAATATATTCTATGTGAACTGTAGCAGTCTCTGGGAACACACATGAACAAAACCCATCATGACAACAAAATAAAAAAGCTAGAATAAATAAAATGCAAAACTCAAAATTTACAAGGAAGGTATGCATGATGTTCAGATAATTATAATAATATAGGCATCACAATGTTTGAAATGTTCCATATGACTCCGTAAATCACATAACAGAGACTGGTACATGGTGAAACAATATATATAAAAAGTCCTTAATCATTTGCGCTTTAATTTTATACCACTTTTAAAATCTTAAAAAATATCTCTTGAAAAAGGAAAAGTTCTCCCCTGGACCTGACATAGAAAATATTACTTGTGGTTTGTTCTCTGAGGCTGAGAAACAATCCTCTCTTTGTACACAACTGGCAAAAGAAAAAAAGAAAACCCCTATACTTATTTGCTATCTCTCTAGGCGGGTCCATTTTCAAAGCATTTATGATGAAAAACACAAAATTCATCCTTGTAGTATAAAAAAAAAAAAAGCTAACACTGTCTCTGGTGGGGGTTTTGTGAAATTTGTGATAACTATATGATGTCTAAAGGGTTATTCATGTTAATGCCAAGGTCCTGGCCACTAGGGGGCGGCATATCATTAGCTCCAGGTCCGTGGAGTCCTGCCAAGCCACTGAGCTGAGATAGCATGGCGTTCTGATCTGCACCAAATCCACTTGGGTCCTTAGAGTTGTGCTGTGGCTGTTGGGGAGGTGGAGGAGGTGGAGCCATGCCTGAGTGATGCTGCTGAAGGTGGCTGGGATGCGGAGAACCCATTTGGGTTTGAGGTGAGATGTGGTGGGGCGAGGGCTGTGGTTGCAGGCGCGGGGACGGACTTGAGTGAGGTGGCTGGGACTGGGGTCGTGGGGAGGGCTGAGGGGAACAGACCTGGTTGCTGAGGGAGGATGGGAGCTGTTGGCCCTGCAAGTGGGGTGACTGAGACATCTGATGCGGGCTCATGGGGTTGTTCTGCTGTGCCGGCGAGGTGCCACTGAGATGTTGCTGCTGTTGAAGCAGACGCTGATGCAAAGCCTGTTGCAATAATGCCTGTGATGTCTGAAGACTGGGACCTCCTTGTGTGGGCTGCGGACCTCCTCCATGCCCCACGTCGGGACCTTGTGATGCTGCATTCTGCTGCTGTTGCATCTTTAGATGGTGTTGCTGTGCAAGCCTCTGTTGCAAGACAGCTGCAGCTTGCTGTTGCGCAGGGTTGCCTGGAAAACTCTGCTGCTGGCCAGGTTGCACACCTTGTAGTGGTTGACCTCCTGGCGGGACTTGGATGTTACCCTGCTGACCCACGTAACCTTGCTGCTGTTGGAATGCTGCGTGATTACTCATTTGTTGCTGCTGCTGCTGTTGTTGTTGCTGCTGAAACTGTAGTTGCTGTTGCCTTCTCATGACCAGATCTCTGAACTGTGGATTCATGTTGGCCATGTTTGGAACCCCCTGACCCTGAATTCCTTGCTGTTGCTGCTGTTGTTGTTGTTGTTGCTGCTGCTGCTGCTGCAAGGCAACTACTTGTTGCTGCTGCTGCTGCAAGGCAACTACTTGTTGCTGCTGCAAGGCAGCTACTTGCTGCTGCTGCTGCAGTAGCGGCCGCTGTTGCATTTGGAGCTGAGAAATTTGAGTCTGCATGTTAACACCCTGTCCAAGGTGCATGCGAGGCTGGGGCACCCCAGTATTGACACTCACTGGCTGGCCTCCCATTGGTCCTGGCCCACCCTGTGGTACAGCGGGGCCAACTTTATACTTGTGAACCCGCTGCTTAATAAATGCTGCCATTAGTTGTGGGTTAGACCGAAGAATGTTGAGGACTTGCTGCTGCTGTAGAGGAGAGCTTGGAGATCGCAGGGTCCGCAAAAGATCCTGCAAGGCTCCCTGAGGCAGATTGCCAGCTGCTGCCCCACTTACTACGCAACTCTGCAGACCAGCCTGCACCATACTCATCAAGGCATTTCGATTCGGCATTTGGGGTGCTTGCTGTTGTTGCATTTGTTGTGGTTGTTGCTGCTGTGGAGGGGGCTGCATTGCAACCATTCCCGGTTGAGCCATCATGGCAGGTCTCTGCTGGGTTGGCATACCCTGCCCTGGCCACTGTTGCTGCTGAGGCTGAAGTGGTGGGTTCATTCTCGGCTGCTGTAGATGCATTTGTGGTGGCATCTGGCCTTGAACACCTGCCTGTTGAGGCTGCTGCTGCTGCTGCGGCATGGGCCCAGCTCCCACCATCATTCCCTGAGGTCCTTGCTGCTGTTCCATCTGCACTCTGTTCGCTGATGTTTGTGCCTGCGAGGCTATTCCTGGTGGCCCTACCATGCCAATTCCAGGGTGAGCTACTCCCATCTGTCCCTGGGGCTGCTGATGGTGCTGCGGCCTAATGCCAGCTTGCGCAGCCTGCCTGTGTAGCATTTGAACCTGTGCCATCTTTCGCTGTGCATCAGCCACTTGCTGGATCTTCATGGCTATCTCCACAGCTGCAGGCGGAGGACCTGAAGGTTGCTGTTGCTGGGACATAGGTGCTGTGCCTGGGTTGTTAGGGAGTTGCGGAGGAGTTGCAGGACCAAGGCTTGGCTTACCCTGCGACTGTGGATTTGGGGAGGGACCTGTGGAATGGGGACCATACTGATTGTGTGGATGCGGGAGTTGTCCCACAGGTTGCTGAGGAACCATTTGTTGCTGCGGTGAGGTCATCATCCCACCTGCACCTGGCATCTGCTGAAACTGGTGGTGGACGGGATGCTGAGGAGGCTGCTGGGGAGCTCCAGCTGGGACTCCACCCACACCAGGCTGGGGCAAAGACGCAAGGTTGGGTGTCAGCTGTGTGGGTGTCTGAGGCGTTGCAGGTTGCGTACCGACTGACGTAGGTGTGCTAGGACCTGTGGCCCCATTGTTGCCGGGTGATGGAAGACCTCCAGGAGGCCCACCTCCACATGGTGGCGGCTGCCCTGCTCGCTGCATGGTGGCCATACGTCTACGCAGCATTTGCGCTTGTTGAAGCCTGTGTTGCAGCTGCTGCTGACGAAGCTTGTGCTTGATGTTGAGACAGAAGGGCACAGGACACTTGTTTTCCTGGCAGTGCTTGGCATGATAGCAACATAGCGCAATGAGTTGCTTGCAGATGGGACAGCCACCATTGGTCTTGCGTTTGCAGCCCTTGGTATGTTGCACTACTCTCTTCATCTTCTGGCAAGACGGCAAAGAGCAATTAGCATTGCGGCACTGGCACGCATGCACCAGAGACTGGATGCAGCGTTGGATGCTGAGACGACGCGAGTCACCAGGGTTCTGAGTGGAGCCTGCAGACTGGTTGTTGCTCTCGTCATCAAGACCCAGTCCAAGTTTCTCCATCTTGTGCTCATGGCCCTTAGTGTTGTAGCAAGTGATGCAAAGATCATAATCCTACAAAAGAAGAGAGAAGGGGGCGTTTCAAAAAGTTGCTCAGTCTTTTTATCTAAAATATATGTACCACAATACCACAATTTTTAGAAACCCTCTTCAAAGACATACAAAGTATCATATATGGCATTTTTTTACCTCACAAACAGTGCAGTGGAAGCGTGTCTCAACGTGGTGCTTGCATTCATTGCACGTGTAGACAAAGCGGTCCTGGCTCTGGTTGTGCAGTTCTACTAGCATACACATGGAGCTCCATTTGGCACGCCTCAGCGAGCTGAATTCAAGGTGCTTGTCTCGTGCAAGCGTTAGGAAAGCATCTCGTCCGTCCATCAGATCGCAGGCCATCAGGGGGTCAGGGTCCAAAATGGGTGGAAGGGAATTAGCAGAAGGGCCAGCGATGAGACGGATAACAAAGAAAACCTTGAAATTAAGCAGTTGACATTTGTGAGTTCAGTCCAAACGTGTAAATGACAAATGGTTCAAATGTTTTTGGGAGCTACATACCTCTTTGTGTTTCTCCATTGAAGCATAGAGTTTCTGGGATAGATCATTGGAGACATTTGGCATGCCCGGTTTCTTTTTATTGGCTCGGCTCAAGCTGCTCTTGTTCTTGCTAGTCTTCTTGCTGTTCTTTTTTTTGGCATTCTTGCTGTCACCACTGGTAGCCTAGACAGTCAAAAAAACAATCTTAAGCATTAAGTTATAATAATTATGTTTTAAGAATACATGGTAAAATTTATTCTAGTGCAGCTGCTTTAATATCAAGTCAAAAACAAGAAAGGACAGTAGCTGTCTAAAAACCCAGCTACTGATGTGTTCGGTTTCTCTTGAAGTACTTTTTAAAGTTACCTAGTTTATTGATGGTAGAAATATTATGCACAACAAATGTTTTCCTTTGGCACTTGAGTATGTTTTCACCCAGTACAAAATGGTTACAAATCTGAGTCAATCACTCACGTCAATGCTTTCACTAGAGGTGTTGTTTTCCTCTCGCTTCCGTTCTTCCTCCTCCTGTTCCAGCTCTTTAATGCTCTCTTCCAACACATTAGGCCAAAAATCACCCTCAAAATATGGGAGCTCCTTCGCACTGGTCAGACGATCCTCTGTTGCCTGCTTAAAAATGTCCTGGGCAAGGAGAAACATGCAATAGTTAGTGAAGGACTTCAAATAGATGGCACATTGCTGTCAACAACGAGCCAAACAAGGGAAAAGACTATCTTGCAGTATGCTGACTCAAGTCTAAACTTTTATTATTGTCAGCCAGAAGTACAGCTGTAGCAGTACCTTGTAGTCGTGCACAATTCTTTCAGCTACTGCTTTGTCAAGCATCTTCTTGTACCATTCTTGTAAGCGTTTAGGTTTGGGAATCTTCTGATCCGATGGGTGGCAGTGGAAGATATAGTCGTCACCTTCGCTCGGTGGACAAGCCCAGATGTGGCCAATGACAAACCCCATTTTTTTAACATACTCCAAGTATCCAATTAGGATCTCATGATAGACTCCAGTTCTCAGGTGACGGGGTTGGAAAAAGTGCACACTGTCAAGGTAGGAGATGTACACACGTCTGCATGGAGAGAAAGAGACAGAGGATATCGCTAAGTTACTTGTGTTTCTCAGACCCCTATGTAATGTCATCCACATGCACGTGGGGGAAGATTCTGTGTGTGCTTGAAGATGTGTGACTGCATGTCTTTGTTATTTTTAACCTTTGATTGGGAGGAGGGCAGTCGGAGCCGTATTCTTGCACATGCATTCCAAAGAAGCACACATCTGTCCCATCAATATCTTGAAACGCAAACAGAGCTTTCGTCCTGTACGGGAATGACTCTGACATTTCACCGCTATCAACAAACCTGTAAAAGAAAAACCGTTCATTCTTTAGATCTTTTCATGGTGTCCATTAAAATTCTTCTTTTTCAAAAAGACTAAATGGAATTTATAATGAAGCAAACATGAATATTTTTTTACAGTTGCAGAATCAAAGAACCATTAATAAATCCACTTTTCAATACCCGAGTTTGTGTAATATATTGATCCAATGTTGTTTTCTCATCCTCCTAAAGGCCTTTCAAAGTCAAAACACCTTGATGTCATTCATTTTCAATGGCTATTTACACAGCAGTGACTGATGGTGATGCAATGCAGTCATGTCCAAAATTTAGAACAATTTTACTTCATGCAAATGAGCAACAAAGCAATGAGACTACCAATGTGAGTGAAAAAGACATCCCAAAGAGCAACAGTGATGCGTGAGCTGTCTCCTCTGAGATACTGTAGTTGAGTGCAAGCAAGATTGAGATGTTATTGTTTACTGTGAGTAATTCATCTGCCCACATACATCGACATCATAAAAAAAAATATATGGAAAAGCGTGGGCATTCCAAAAGAGTTTGATTCATGCATTGATAATCGTTGATGTTGTTCATGATAATCAATCATGTTCATATGATGAATTATAATAGTGCTGCAATTTCCTTAGAAATACTTTCCCCTCAAAATGATTTCTTGACAAAATAGAACATCTTAATTTTACCGTTTATGACGAGAAGCTATGGAAGGCCACCAATAACGTTCAAAGACAAACAGTTTTATTATTGTTAACTAAAACAGAAATTAAATCTATTCAAATTTGTTTTTCAGTTGAAATGAAGCTGAAAATTTAAATACAAATATTAGATGAAAAACAAACTTCAAAACAAATGAAAATGAAATGCTGCCTTGGCAACTAAAAGAAATAAAAATAAGTTTTAAAATTACTAAAACTGAATTAAAATAAATTTAAAACTATATAGAAATACTTAAATGAAAACAGTCACATAAAATGATGTTAAACTAAAATTGAAATGAAAACTGAAAATATGAAAATAAAAGGTAATCCAAAATATTAATAATATTAATATCATATTTTAGTATTATTTATACACTATTATAGTATAACACTAGTTAGGGCATCCAGTAGTATAAATGCCTACTACAAACAACACTAACTCTACTTGATGACAATCAAAAGAAATTAAGCAAACAGTTCCAAAATTCCCAAACCTTAAAAGGAACGACAACAATATTCCAGAATATTCTGTACTGTCCCTCACCTGGACTTCATGCCAGGTTTGACTTCCACCACTTTATCAGAGACGTGAACCACACGGATGGTGACATCACCGGTTTCTGGAAGATTCTGGCGCTTCAGGTACTCGTTCACTCGTGTCTCCAGGAAGCTCCCAAGCTTTGTCTGAGGAAGTCCTGGAATAAAGAGAAAGAAAAGCAGGGAGTTTAAAATGATGCAACAACTACAGCATTTGACAATTCAAGATCTCAGTTAAGATCTGCTATTAAATATTTTTATTACACAGCTCTCTAAAATACTTGATTCTCATTAGTCGAGCATGGAAATCCATGCTCAAAAATTTAGATTTTTTCCCCCCAGACTTTTAAAGCTCTTAACCACTTACTCCTTGCAGTGTATTTATTCTCCTTCCTTGTTGCATTGGCTTTTTTCAGACAGCCGTCACAAACAAACCTGATTGAAAGGAAGACAGACAGAGCAGAATATTTGGAAACAGAGCGACACATCTCTGAATATGTGGTTAACTTAGATACAATACGGAACAGTAATAATCATAAAAAGTAGTAGTAACAAAGGACATCAAGTTGTCCTACATTTTCCATGTTTACAGTGCTCATCTTGTCACAACATTAAAATTTGACCATTAATTAGAAGAATGGATATCTTGTTTTAATGCTAATTTAATGCTGGTATCTAAAATTCACTAATCAGGGTTGTATTTAACAGGAAAAACCCGGCAAACCTCATAAAATAAAGATAAATGAAAAAGGCTAACTTTATATTAAGTTTCGCTTCCTCAGGTAAAATCTTACATTCACTAATAGTCTGCTGGCTCCATTTTTTATCCATATTTTGCAGTAGAATATATCAAATAAAGTGTGCTCAAATAAAACTAGCTCACCCCGACGGCCATATCGTCTCATTGTGCAGAGCGCATATCCGATGCATTTTTCGACCACAGTCGGCACATTCCAACAGTCTGACGAGGAAGATCGGAAAACAAAGGTCAGATGATGACAGCAAATCCACGTCTTGACTAAAACCTCAGAACAAGCAAACTGAGACGACACATTTGGAGGGAGAAAATATCTACATACAGCTCAGGGTCGAGGGTGTCATTCTTTTTCCTTTGAAACTGATCTTTATTGATGGACCTGAGGAGAGAAAACGAGAGACGGAGAACAGGAAGCCGCCCAATCGAGTGGGTCATGAGAATCACTGAACAAACGCTCTCCCGAGGAATAGCATCACGACAATAACAACGAAGAAGATGATCAAAACACAAACATTTCGATGGTTACTCACGTTTGAGGCTGGGTTGGATCGTCCCCCAGGGATACATTCTCCCCCTGGATTTCATTGAAACACTTCTCACAGAAGTGGTACCTGTCAGCAAGAAGCCCATATTTGGGTGAACTAGACCGTTCGTCAAGAGCACAGCCAATCACAGTGAGGGCACGTGGAAGCAGCCACCAATCAGGGCAGGGCAGGCCAGGAGACAGGCACACAGGAGAAGGCAGGTTCGTCGCCGGGAGCAGCCAATCATGAAGCAGGGTTTTTTTTGGGTGGGCAGATTGATTGATTGGTTGCGTGTAAATTTCGGAGCGGATGATTGGTCACATCAAAGCAGGCCAATGCAGACATCACAAGCATTAAAAAGGAGGGAGAGAAAGGGAAGGGGGTGGGGAGGAGGGCAGAATGAATATTTTAAAAAGGTGTGAGAAACAAAACCGTTATGAGGGACAAAGAGCTCCGTGTTGGACAGGTGGAGGGGTGGGTCAGATGTAGAAGAAGAAAACTAAACCGTAAGAGAGAGCAGGAAGCCGAGGCAAAAGCACAGACGGTCACCCTTGCGTCCGCTGAGCTCTAAAACAACCGTGACGCCCAGAGGAGCGAAGGGACAACAATGGACTTAGTGAACGAACGGATGAGAAGAGTGAGAACAGGAGCAACAGAGACCTATCATCCTTTCAGGACATTTTAAAGAGGGTCTCAAGACTCGATACTAAAACAACATGGGACAGATGAACAGTTTGTACGTCCTCCTGAAGTTGGCAGCATGAATATGAAGTTGATTTTCAGAAATTGAAACATTGTACTTTTTTGTCAGTAGTTTTTGGGTCAATCTCACAAAACCTATCCAGGTCACATTTTACCCCCAAAATAATTTTGCATAAAGAAAACGAAGGACCATTAAGATCTGAAATGATCATCTTACAAATGTCTTTCTTTAAATGCAGCATAAAGGCATCAGCCACATAATAATAAAAATATATTACACAACATTATATATGGCTGCTTCCACATGGGCTTCTTTTTTTCCTACCATGTGTTGTCATACTCTTTTGTTGTTAATATATTTTAACAATAATAATATTATTATAAAATAAGTGTTATATTGCAACCTTTTATATTAATAGACTTTTAATAATCATAATTTAATGTTAGATTACATGAAAACAGTAAAAAAAAAATTCCAGTACCTTGTGTTACTTTATATTATAACCTTTAATTTTGAATATATTTTAATAATAATAAAAAATAACATTGAAATATAACACTTAATAACATAAAAGTGTTATATCACAACATTTTATTTTTAATCGATTTTGGAAGGGAAAAAAAACAATATTCAGCCTTCATGTTTAAAATTAAAATCTTATTTTCTTATTTTAATTCTGGGCTGAAATGTGACCTTGACACGTACATGGCGTTTTATGTAGCATTTTTATATAACGAAAGTAAGGTTCAGATTAAGCCTAAGGTAGCCAAAGTTATACAAAAGCTTTGCACAACCCATATTTGTTTACCGCCGAAACCTCTGATTCTGGTGAAAGTCTTTGCCTGCCTAGGTGAAAAAGTGTTTTGCTGTTAGGGTCGAAGATGATGCAACTTAGAAAATTGGCAATGATTTTCAATAACTCAGAGGAAGAGCACGGCAATCGTTTTGGTGCTTCCTTCTTATTAGCACTTTGTTATTTTGTGCTTGTAGCTACCAACGGAGGTAATCAACACAAATACTTGCCAAAACACACCTGCCAATATGTTAATTGTAAGAACATCCACAAAAACGTCAAAACAACTGAAGTCAAAAATGCAGACCCTCTTTAAAATGGCCGGTTAAAATCAGAAAAAGAGCAGAGATGTGAAATGTGGTCTATTTTGCCACCGAAAGTCAAATCAACAGGCCTGAAATTCAACAACACCCTGATGTGGGGAAATATGTGCTCACAGCAGAACAGCATTTACATTTTTACAAAGCACATGAAAACAGGCCTCTTAAAAATACTCACCTCAATCTTTTTACATACAAATACACAAAGTAAACCAAATCTGAATGTGTCAGATGTAGTGGAGCAGCCTAGTGTCCATTAAAGTGTTCAGAAAACAAACAGCTTTCATAATACTTCATTCTAGCACTGGGCCGCTTCACAGCAGTGCTTTTAATGCTGCCAGGCAACATCAAATTGATTTCAGGCTGAAATGCAAATGATCTACAACAGTGTGATGGGGTCAGGCAATTACCCATCAGGCCACATTCACTAGGATATAACTATTCGCATTAATATAAGAACTTGCTTCTGTTTGTATGCATAATATAGACCCAATTTAAGTCTCTTTGAACTTTCAAGTGGTTATTCTTACTCTAATAGGACTGATAAGTCTATATTTTAGTGGCTGTACTGCATAGCATTAAGTTAAGGGTGCGAGTGACTATGTGTGTAGCGTGGATATCATCTCTGATACTGACCTGTTCTGGTAACTGAAGTATGCAGCGTCTCGAGGGATGGTACACAGCTGTTTGCCATAGCAGCACAGAGTTTGAGGAGAAAACTCCAACTTGAAAGAAGAAAAATAGGGATAGAGGGGTTAAAAGAGAGAGAAAGAGAGGAAGAGGAGAGTGGGGTAGCAATATCCCATTGGTTTTGGTCCGATAATGATATTAAAGCAAGAAACCACAATCTACCTCATAATGTGCCAAACACTACAACTGAACCGCTGTAAAAACGCTGTTAAAAGTGTTTTGCTGCTTTTATACATGGAAACAGCAATATGACTAAAGATAAAAAACTACAACAACATTATTATTATTAATAATAATGATGATAAGTAGTAGTAGTGGTTATAATAATACATATTTAAAGCAAGTATTAACTATATTGCTTCCTTAAAGAATTATTTTTGTAATAAAAAAAAATATTATTAAAAATAAATGTTATATTATTAAAATAAGTTATTTATACTATATTAATAAGTTAATTATATCGTACTAGTATATTATAATTCTTCTTATCAATAATAACTAAGTAACTAAATAAAAATAAGTATTTATAATTCACATTTAACATGCTTGCTGTAATTACTATTATTATAGTTATATTGTTAAATGAGTTTGGTATTATATCGTAGTATAATATAATTCATCTTGAGAAGTAGTAGTAGTAGTAGTATTATACATTTAAGGAACTAACTATATTGTTTGCTGAAATTGTTATAATAATATTAATAAATGCATTTATAATTATATTGCATGCTTGCTTGAAGAACTATTGTTAAAATTCATAATAACAATTTGATATATTGTTAAATAAGTTTAGTATTATATGAAGTATTTAAAATACTTAAGGCACTAAGTATATTGTTTGCTGAAATTGTTATAATAATAATAGCTAAATATTATTAAATGAGTTTTGTATTATATAGTAGTATATTCTGGTTACTTTAAAACCGATGAAATCTGATCGTTGAGCCACGTTCCTTTTATAAAATCTAAAAGTTAAAAAACAAAACCAAATGTGATGTAGAGACAAACACACACGGCTCACCTTCCTTCCACAGCAGTACCCCAACTCCTGCATAACGGGGTCTATTTCCTGTTCAAAAACCTCAGCCAGTTTGGAGCAGTATTTATACACCCGTGACGTCTTCCTGTTATACAGCCAGGCGTTATTGAACATCAGCCACACGTCGTCCACGTACTGCCAGGGCTCCTGGTACTGACCCGTGTCCAGCTTACGCTTGATAGTGGACAAGTCCATCGGGTTTTTCACTATGTCAAAGTAGTCCTGGAGAATGGAGTCCAGATCGCAGATGGAGGTCATCATCATCATCGGGTGAAATTAAGTTTCAGTCGGACAGAGCGAGGGACGGCGGCCCGGCGGGTTGAGAGTCAGGGGGAGAGAAGAGGGTGCAGGGGGACAATGTTGAGCGCTGTAGAAGAGGTTCACATGCACAAACAGAGAAAAACGTAACAGACTCCCACTGCCTCACTCAAATCTGTACCCTACTTCTCTCCTGTTCTCCCATACACACAAAAACACAGAGAAATCTTTGGGCCAGCAGCGGCAATGACGGCAAACATCTACTTGCAAACTGGGGTGGGCGAAGATATATGAACATAATATGGTCAGACAGTATGCTGAATCGCATTCAAAATGTCAAGAAATGCCAGGAAAATTATATTTTGCATAAAAATTATGCAAAATTTTTAAGACTTTACATTGTCTGAAGATTTTGCACTGTCTTTATATTCATGACAATTAACCACCCCCCCAATGCTAATGATATATTGCTAAAAATGTCATTGAAAGTATTTGCAGTAATGAATTTATGATTTATAATAATAATAATGGTAAAACTTTACAATAAGGTTCCATTTGTTACACATTAGTTAACATAAACTAACAATGAAAAATACTTCTAAAGCATTTATTAATCTTAGTTCATGTTAATTCCAACATTTACTAATACATTATTACAATTAAAAAGTTTGATCTATTATTGTCATTTAATATACCTCAGATAACATGGACTAACAGCGAACAGTTGTGTTTTTATTAACTAACTTTAACAAAGATTAATAAATACTGTAACAAATGTATTGCTCTTTATTAGTTAATGCATTACATTTTTTTTATACATATTTATATATTATGCATTTTATATATTTATATTATTTGTATATTATATATATATTTATATATGATATATAGTTAAGAAATGGAACCTTATTGTAAAGTGTTACCATAATGATAATAAGTATTATTATTATCATCGTTATATTTTTCATCATCATCATCATCATTTTAGCAATTAATAATATTATTATTAATATAAATTTTAAAAGAATGAAGACATTTTATGTGCTTAACTGTCACAATGATGCTACAATACAAAAAAAAAAAAAAGATCCTAAAAATAAGCATAATATAATTTTTTAATATATATAAAAATATATTTAGTTTTTTTATTTTGGGGTCAAATATGAGCCCGGCATTTCTTCATAAGATTCACTTGTTAACCATTAGGACTGTAATTCATTATCATGCTCTGCCATTCTTTTTAGCTTGGAAACTGTATTTAAGAAAACATTTACTCATTTTAAATCCAGGCATAGTGGATTAATTTCACATGTGGAGGACAACCTGGGTACAAAATGAATCCATTTGGCCAAAAAATTCAAATAAACTGAGGCTTGCTAGGGTGACGTTGGCAGAGTTAGCATTTAGGGTACAGTAAGCTGAGGTGAGTCCAAGCGGGGTGATATTAAATTACAGCAGAGTAGCTATGAGCGTTTACACCACAAAGCACAGCCGGACTCACTTCTTTACAGTCCAACAGCACAAATCATCAAAGACACAGGAGAAATACAATCCTTCAGCTGTCAACCCCACTGTATTCAGGTTGTGTGCGACATAAAGAGTTAAATTATTTAGAATCAACTTCTTAATCAAAAATTTCGTTTTAGAGAAATTTAGGGTGCCTGCAACCACCAGAAGCATCTGACAGATCTGCAGAACCATATATTCAAATATGAATTACAATAATGGTTCCCTCATCTATGTTTACACAACCATATGAGATCTTTAAGCAGATACGATGGGGACGACACAATGTCAGGACAAACTGAGGTGTTTCAAACAAACACTAATCTTAGACCAGTGAAGAGAGTGAACAAACCCAGAATCAGATGGACAGACTCTTTACAAGCACTCTGAAAAGACACGTAAAAATATTTAGTTATTTCATTTTCAGGGTTTACCTGACTTTTTGATTGCCCATGATTAGTTTTATACATATTTTACTTCGACTCTTCAATTATTAGGTTAAACATCTCTCTCCTGTCTGTAATGTTTGCTTGTCACACCTTAAATAGGGCCAGTGCCACATTCAAACAAACCACTGATAAAGCAGCAAAATAACCAGAAAAGCAGGAAATTAATTTTCATTTTAAGAAACAAAATCAGTCAACTGTTCCCAACAGTGATCAGTGTAAGAAATGTGGCTCCTTCCTTAATGTAAATGAAAGCCAATTATACTTCACATAAATGTGATGCATTGATCAATCAGTAAATTTTCATCTGCTATGCTGGTTTTTGCTAAAATAACTCTGGGGAATGATGGTACACTCAGCATGAGAATATTATGTGGCAAAATAAAACAACTGCAATGGCTTGAAGCTCAGGTCAAGATAATGAATTACATGGAGTGTAATCAGATGAGAGCAAAAACGATACTAAATGAAGAAAATAAGGCCAGCGCAGACTATAACATCTTTCAGAGCAGCCAAACAACCAACAACATTTAAGACTTACTGCCAATTGAACATTCAAAATGAACTAGTTAAAAGTGCCAGTTCATTTTCACCAATTAACGGGGGCTTGCACAATTAAACTAAGTCACGGCTGTCGCGAATAAAGTAAAAATAAAATGAAAAGTGTTGATTACAGCGTTAAATTTAGATCCATTCATTCTACATTGTATTTCTTTTTACATGTTTACAGCACTGCACAATTTAACCAATCACACACGATTCTGTTGAGCTTATGAATGCAATGGCCAATCAGAGGCGTTCAGATGAGTCATCGCTGAAACCCCGGAGTTCTGTTCGGTGCGTGTGCTCGCAGACTGAATTCTGCACTCCCGCAAATTCTCTGATCATAACCAGAGTGCAGATGTGGCCTACATACGATGCAAGAAAGAGATTCATTCATCATACAGTGTAGACAGCTTCATTGATTATAACGGGTGTTGTTAGAGAGTGCTTAAACTCGTGCTAGACTTAAGTCCGTGATAATGTTCTTTAATGTAAATGTTCTTTGCTCACATTCTGTATATGACTGATTTGCTGTTTGAATAACTGTGGAAACTGAAGCGTTATAATTAGTAACTTACAATGTTTTTATTAAACTGTGATCATGTTAAATACAAATTCAGTCCTATTAAAAATATTTTATGACATGACACCCATATTGCCAAAAAACAGGTTGATGTGCGTAGTTAATGGATTACACAAACATTAGGCTACTTCTAGCCTTACCCTGGAGTTGGTTCACCCTCCGCCTATGCTGTTTTATCAATAACTGAATTGTTCGTTTCACAGCCCAATTCGATATAATATTAAAACTACAATCCTCCGTTTAAATAAATAAATAAAGATGAATTTAAAGCTTAATTGTGTAACCTCTGAATCACTGGATTAAAAACTAATTATTTGTTTTATAAACACATCCTGTCTGCCATTGGTTGACAAAAAAACAAAAAAAAGATAGTCCCATCCTAAAAACTCGCCAAACGCCATTGGTTGAGTCAAAGTCGCGGTTTTGGGCTGGTCAAAAAATAGCTCACGTCATCAACACATTAATCCAGAGTTATAACTTCAAAATAATCACAAACTTTAGCTTTAAATTTTCCTGATTTGAATTGTCTCTAACATACTTTTCTGTCTATGTTGACATATCAACCACAAAAGCAGATGTTCATAGTCTGCGCTGCCTTATATTCAACTCTTGTTTTCGGACAGAAACGCTACAGAAGCAAGCTTGCAACGTCTCTCTCACATCCAAACACAATGTACACAACAGCAAGCAGAAGAGAGAAAGAGAGGGGGTAAAGGTAAAAAAAACAAAAACAAAAGGAATGAGACTAGAACTGAAAAGTGCTAGGTTGTTCGTAGCGTAATGCGTGCCAGCGCAGGCCCTTACCAGGTTAGTTTTGTTACTAGTTCGAATACGTACGGGTATTCCCAGTAACTGGGGGTCCACCGGCTGCCGGAAGGGCAGCGACTCTGGGTCCTGTCTGTACAGAGCTTCCAGAGTGGGCATTAAAGCCTGGCGGAGCTCATCAGGTTTAAATACTGATGGAGAGGAAGGAAATAAAGGAAGCAGCAGAGTCAAGAATCAGGCACATAATCATATGAAAATCATGAGTACTGATTTCAAAGCAGTGTTTGTCCTTCATATTAAACTAAGGAAAGGAACGAGCACCTGCTGATTCTAGGTCAGAATTAGTAGATTTCATGCAATGAGAACAGATATAAATTTAACCACAATATAAAACAACAATAAATCCTTTTAGTTCATTTTTTAAGGTGCTTTGGTTAATGACTGTATGCTAATTATATAAGAACATCTGCAGGATCCTTAAAGGTGAAGCATAGAATTTCTGTGCCACTAACCAAACACAATCAGAATTTTTTTTTTTTTAATCCTTGATTAGGAGTTATAAACCATGAACCAAACAAACCAGCTTAAACCAACGAGATCAGTTACACTATTACACACAATTATTTGAAATTGTGTAATTATTTGACCTGTATACTTGGCAGCTTGAATGAGGATAGAATTACATCCCATGAAGCATTGTAAATAACAATCAAATTAAAAATGGAGACATCTAAAACAAAAAGCATCATGTTTAACTTTTCTGAGACAGTCTACCATTGGATTTTTCCCCCAGCACATTATACTTGCATAGAAAAATGGATGGGAAAGGATTAAAAGGAAAAGATTTACCCTGTACCCCAAAAGAGTTTTGTGTAAAATGCATCTACGAAGGTGTGCGTGAGTTTGTTTTACCTTTCTTCTTGCTTTGTGTGTTTGTGGGAGTGCTGTTCGTTCCTGCAGCCTCTTCCTCTTTGGGTTCAGTTTTGACTTCCGGCTTCTTGTCCTCGGCTGTCGACCCAGTCGATGTTTCCATTGGCTCTGTCTTACATTCATCGTCTGCAGGCTCCTCCTTCTTTATGTGGCAGACCAATCAAAATAAGGTTAGGGACGGAATCAAAATAAAGATCAAAAAGAAAGGATCAATCACTCGAATGTCTTGGATTTAACAGACGTTTTTTAATGACTTTCTTTGTCATCCATGTTTCTTTGCTCACCTCAGTCTTAATCTCAGTCTGCATGGCGGCCATTTTCCCTGAGGCCTTATCCCCGGTCTCATTCTCATCCTCTTCTTCCTGCTGTTTGACCTCAGTTTTGGGGTCGAGTGGGGCGGTGGGCTCGGATGATGTTAGCTGTGAGCTAGGATCAGCACTGCTGTCCGAGGCAGGAGTTGAGGCCTGACCGTCAGCCGTCAGAGACGACTTCTGAGAGAGCTGAGGGGTGGGACAGAACACCAAATTAGGAGAACAACCAATGGCAAACAAAAACAAGAAGGAAAAGCCAAAAACAAACAAACAGCTGATTAAGAGAGAACAGCAAACAACAAACAAAATGAGAGAGGAACAGCCAACAAGGTGCAGCAGATAGAGAGAACAGCCAATGAGAAATAAACGAAAGGAACAGCGCAAATGGCCAAATAAGAAATGAGTCAGAAGGGACGGGAAAAGGGCCAATGGCAAACAAAAATCAGTAGGAACAGCCCCCCCCCCCCCAAAGAGCTAGCAGGGAAATAAAATAAATGCCAGAAATGCCAGAAAAAGAACAGCAGAGCAAGACAAAACAGCCAATGGCAAACAAAAATAAGAAGGAAGAGACAGAAGAGACAAAA